GTATACAGTTTACCCTAGCCAATTTCCAAAGCTGTAGAGTAACACTATAAATACCTCATCACACAACAGAAATTTCAGCCTTTGGATCTTCAGGCTAGTTCGGTTCGTCTAAGTGGCGTGAGGAACAATAATCGTAAAATCGCGATCCGAATGTTTAACAACCTGCAGTAACGTGGTGAGGTAATTATATCCTTCTTATGTTCGGTTAGACAATCCCTGTTGCAGACGCCAGATCAGGCACATTTATGTTAGTTCAACACCCACAGAGCCCATTTGTGGCTTATACTGCAACTATGCTGCAGCGGACCTTAGTTATGGTTTCCTGGAGAGAGCGGTCAACAATTTAAACAAGCCAGTAGTCTCATACCCTCAGCCACGATGACTTCGTGCTAACATAACTCTCAGTGGCTTCCGAGCAGTTCTGTCAATCTAATTTCTCTCATAAGGTTTGGGTCAACACGTTGTGTGGTTTTCAGACCCTTTGACGCACGCTGAGATCACATCCATAGACTGATAACATCTAGGAATCACTTGCCTGTTAAATCGACTATGGTGAGACTTGAACCCGGGTCTCATGATGAGAAAATAAACGTTCTAACACAATCAGCCAGGCACCGATATACTGGCAACAACCATGAATCTAGACACCCTGTCGTCGAACTGTTAATGATTTTTCTGCCAACTTCGGTCACCAAGCAAGTTGGTTCCTAATCATCTGGCGATCGAAGTGGGCGTGTATATTCGAGTGAATATTGCATTAACAAATTTATTTAGATAACAATGATTTTTCTAGATAAGTTCCTTGAATCGATCAACTTGAATTGAAATTAATCTTTTTAGCCGAAGCAATTCTCGTCTACCTGCAGTTTGAATTTAACAAAAAGAAATACATTTTCATTTACAGAGTCAATTGTCCTTCTAAGTCTCACATCTCGCGTTCTTGTAGAAAGAAAAATTATTTTTCCAATCTGCAGTCTCTTTCCCCATAGACACAATATTGCAAGCCGGTTGCTACTCTATCGCTATTTCCATGGCAAATGTTCAGATGAATGCCATACTTTTAGATTCAACAATTTCACAAGTAGGACACGCTATCTCACTTCTGTGGAGCCCAATCACCCCTATTTCACCCGTGTCCCAATTTAAGTTCCACGTAAACAGCTATTCTTACAAGAACTATCAATTTGTAGATCAGAATCCTGCTTGGGTGCTTACCTGAACATTAATTTCATTATTTCTTCAAGCCAAGAGTCGATCCCTATCCTCATAATCAGTACTTCTTGCTGCCGCCTTTTTTGTGTATATCACGCACTCTGTCCATCATCCTCATGTCGGGTAAGACGTTAAACTACATCCAGCAGCAATGCCTCTGATTAGAAGGTTTTGGGGAGCGTCGAGCTATCACTTAATTGCTGACGTTCCCACGTCCACCCTGACCCAGGATGGTAGCACCTGTTAAGGTCCCAGCTATGGGGATATAGTGACCGCCCAAACAAAACCAAAACACTATGAAAATACAAAAATACACTTTTATAGTAAAATGCCAGCAAATACTTAACTATTACCAGTAATAGTTTTGGAGGAAAAAATATTACCAGCAATACAATTTTGAAGGAAAAATATTACCAGAAACAGATTTTTGACGAAACAAAATATTACCAGCAATAAAAAATGTTGTCCGCATTAAATAACCTATTGAGCTTGATATGCCATAAAACAAAATAGACCAAACCAATTTAAACCAAAGAATACATATTCTATTCATACGAATCTATCCTAAAAATTTTGTCGGTATTAAATAACCCATTGAGGTGTTGATATGCCGTAAAACAAAACAAAACAAACCGAATCATGTCGATTTTAACTCTCCATATTAAGTAGCTATCGAGCCTTTTATTGGGTGAAATTTAGTGGAAAAAATTAATTACCACACGCATGACGCTGTTTCTGCAAAGATGCCGTTGCGTCTCCAGTCGCACGGTGTTATTTTCATGAAAGAGAGTTAATATAAATTCGTTAAACGATGTAATCATTGTAGCAGTCTGAAGGAAAACAATGTAGAAATGTATGCAGGATGGCAACATACGCACCATGTATTTGCCGTTGGATTGGTAAATGTCTGTACTTCTGGGAATTTCCTTTTATCAGAGTCATCCTAATCATATCACAATTCTCGAACTTTCCTTATATCATAATCATCAGTGCCTCGACCGATTGATATCGCCGTATCGCTGGGCAGCTGTGTGTTATACTAGAACATCCCTATTCTATTGTTAATAGACTCTCCGACATATAATAAGTAGTAGTAGTAGCAGTCGCCAGGGAGTTGAGTGAGTTGGTGAGTCAGTCGATGTCGGACATTAAAGTATCAACCACCACAACTAGATTGCTGCGTCATTAACTATTATAACAAGTTCCTAACGTTTTGTACGTCGAACCTTTTTAGGACTGACTTAGTGAAATACAAGCCTCCACTGTGAAAACTACTCTACAACAATGTGACACTGACCACCTCTCTTCACACGTCTCGGTAGGTATCATTCATGTTTAGAGCACATAACCTTCCTAGTCACACCACAGCCGATGTCCATCGGCGTGATGTCTTGATTTGGTCATCGACACATGGCCTTTGATTCCATCGAGTGAACTCTCCACTCTGGCTGTTGACTTCAGTCTAGGAAAGTCTCCACCAACCGATACCGTGTCCTCACCGTTAATGTCTTGCATGGTATCCGTGTATTATTCAAGTACTGTTATTTTGCATATATATGGTCGTCAATCGCGGAAACAGTTTCCATGTTTTGGAGTGCTCATCGACGTTTCCTTTTGTGTGAAATGAGTCCTATTTTTTTTCAAAAATAAATGCACGTGATACACGACTGACCAATGAGAATCGATCTAAACAAAACTGAAAATACCAAAGTTCTATTTTTTTTCTCTCAATCTCTGATAAAGTTTTAATAAATGTGAAACATGTTAGATTGATAAACGTTCCCTATTTGTTCAGTATCTTATCACTCTGTCGGATTTCGATCCATATTTGATCTGCATTTGATCTTTGACTAACATACACACTTGTAAACTGATGCAAGAAGACACATAGTCAACCAGTGTTCTAATTATTGATCTTGGCAATAAATACCGAAATATTGATGAAATGAGGCACATTTTTTACTAATATTGATGAAAGCATCTGTCTATATTTCTGAGATGAGGTATTATGTACACTATTTACATTATTTGGACTATTGTCCTCATCTTTGTCGCCATATTTGTCACAACGTTTCGGTCCTTCGGTATCTGTCTATATTTCTGAGATAAGGTATTATGTACACTATTTACGTTATTCGGACTATTATCCTCATCTATGTTGCCATATTTATTACAACGTTTCGGCCGTTGTACGCTCCAGCCTTCTACAGGTGGTTGGAATGTCAAACTGAACCCTTTATTTCGCTCACTTGGGTAGACTGTTCTAGTTCCACGTGCCATGTTTAATGGATGTCAGTTATCAGTTATCTCCTGTTAATTCCCCCCTGAAAGTTCTCCACTGTCTTAACCGGGTATTGAACTCACACTCTATCTAACTAACGCCTTTATCCACTGTGCCATGTGTCCTTGAAGGAGAGGGGAATTAACAGGAGGTAACTGACAACTGATAATAATGTAAATAGTGATGAAATCATATATTTGTGCGGTTGGGACTTTGGAATGCTCGCTTACCAACCTTGCGCCCCGAGTTCGAATTTCGTCATAGTCGATTAGTTAGGAAGACGATTTCTTGATGTTATCGCCTTGTGGAGACAATCCTGACGCGTGATTCCATTGGAAATTGGGTAGTCGGTACTTTTTCGGAAGTTGTCTATGTTTATGCTAGTATGAAGCAACAATTCATCGTGATCAAGGGATTGAGCGTACGGACCTTGTCCAAACTGATTAAGCACTTTCTCTTAAAAATTGTAACAAAGGTCCGCTCAACGGATATGGCGTATGCAGAACAGGAAGGTTCGATGGTGTCTGCAAACGGGTGTGCTTGGAAACGAGTTGCCAACCATTATTATAATTATTAATTTTAGTCAATGGCCAAGGTGGTGGTCCTCCTAACCCTTCAGACGGAATCAACCCCCACGTTTTGTTTTGATCAATTTGAGCCTTTTATGCCGGGGATCATCAGGCGAGGGATAGTCTCCTCCAGGTCAACTTTGCCAAAGACACGAATGAATATCTGCCGAGACATGTTGAAGGGTCAACTCAGATGCGCATTGACCCTTCGACCAGGACCGGTCATGGGATTAATGATGATGATGATGATGATGATGGTGACTGATTGCATAAAAGCTTGTTTTTAAGATTTACTTTATTATGAGATTGTGTTTCGAACAAGACTTTTCTTCGTTGCTCAATTTTGTTAGCCCAAGCGTTTATTTTTTTTTTAAGCGTTTCACCCCAAGCAAGGCGGGAAGCCACTAGCACGCAAAGGGTTACAGAGAGTTGGAGCAAGAGCAAATAAGAATTATAGAGGAAAGGATGAAGAGAAGGATAGGGGATAGATCAAGGCATCTGGAGACATCGATTGACATTACATTTGAATTGTTGGAGATTATAGCTATCAGGGAAACAGGAAGAGGGGAGGGAGTTCCACAGGCGAGAGGTGCGAGACATGAAGCTATTGGAGTAGAAGAGACGGCTACATTTAACAGTTTCGACAGTGAAAGGGTTTGAGCGAGATGCCAGCCTATTAGAACGCTTAAATTCATGAAGTCTGGGAACCAGTGAAAGCAGCGCATCGGGGCAGTTACCATGAAAGTATTTGTAAAAAGACAGAGGGAGGCGACGGCACGTCTGTGAGAGAGCGATTGTAGACGAGATGTATTCGGATGGCTGACCGTGCGTAGGAAAGAGAGAGAGAGAGAGGTGAAGTGGAAAGGGAGGAAAAGAGAGAGAATGAGGAATGGGCAAAGAGAGAAAGAAGAAAATTAAAAACAGAAACGGAGAGTGAGTCACAGAGAGAGAGAGAGGGGGGAAATGGGTAGAGAAAGGGAAAAGAAGAAGATAACGGGAGAGAAGAAAGAATGAGTGAAAGATATTGAGGGGTTGTAGAAGAGGGGGAAGGAAAACCATTTGGAGAGATAGAAAGGAAAAGATCTGAGGTATAGATAGAGGGAGAGGAAGAAGAGAGAGAGAGAGGCTGTGGTGACAGATGGAGAAAAAGAGGCAGGGAGGGAGGGAAAGAGAAACAGGAAGAGAAAGAGAATAGGAAAGATAAAGAAAGGAAGAGGTGAGCAAACAGAGTGGATAGAGAGAAAAAGATGGCGAGAGTTTCTTTAAGGGATGTAATAAAAATAAGAGATGAGAATTGAAGAATAAGATTGAAAGAATATCTACACACTGTTTTAAATTAACTTGATAAGCAGATCAAGCATATACTTTAAGATCCGGTAGGGGCTACTGATCAAGCGAGGGCTTAGGATTATAAAGTCATGGCCTGAGAAATGAGAACACCGATTAGGTTCAGCGAGTCTATTGCAAGGTCATTGTCTCAGTGCATAACACAGCGATAAACAATTCTAGAAACAGACATGTATATGAGACGGGGGGGCGCATGTCCTCGCAGAAGAAGATTCAGAGAAATTCTAAAACATAACAGACACTTGGCATGGATACTCTACCAAACTTTCACAAATGCACCAACAAAAATAACTATAAATCCGATGAAATTAGTCTGACCCAACCACACAAAGTTTTTTATATTATTTACATTATTCGGACTATTGTTCTCATCTTTAAAGCCATATTTATTACAGCGTTTCGGCCGTTGTACGCTCCGGCCTTCTTCAGGTTGTTGGAATGTCGAACTAAACCCTTTATTTCACTCACTGGGGTAGACTGTTCTAGTTCCACGTGCCATGTTAAATGGATGTCATGGATTATCTACTCAAGGACACATGGCACAGTGGATAAAGGCGTTAGTTAGATCCAGTGACAGGAGTCAAAGAGTGTGAGTTCAATACCCAGTTAAAGCAGTGGTGAACTTGGAAAGATGAATTAACAGGAGATAACTGATAACTGACATCCATTAAACATGGCACGTGGAACTAGAACAGTCTACCCCAGTGAGCGAAATAAAGGGTTCAGTTCGACATTCCAACCACCTGAAGAAGGCCGGAGAGTACAATGGCTGTAATGTTGTAATAAATATGGTGACAAAGATGAGGACAATAGTCCGATGTGACCTCATCTCGGAAATATAGACGGCTAATGTGTAATATGACAACACAAAGTAAAAATAATTTTATATTAAATATGAATTGTCCCGAGGGTCATGTCTTAATTTTATGGGTCAAGGCTGTTCTTAGTCTTCTTTTATCTTTTATATCCGAAAAAAGGAGGATATCTTTGGTAACAAAGAAAGAATACTGTTACGTTACATCTGTCCTTCTTTACGGCAGCGAATGTTGGACGATTTCCTCAAAGATGAAGAAGATATTCGAGGCGACAGAAATGTGGTTCTACAGAACAATGCTAAGGATATCATAGATCGACCGAAATCTTAGAGAGGTTGAAAACAAGGAAGAGGCCTATACTTAATATCAGGAAGAGACAGCTAACGTTTCTGGGACACAAAATCAGGAAGGATGACCTGGAGAATCTGATACTCACAGTTCGAATAGAGGGAAAGAGAGACAATGGAAAACAAATGGCCATACTTGGCGGACATAAGAAAGTGGATGACAGAACGTGGTCTGGGGAGAGAAAGCAAAAGGAAGGAAGTTGTTGAGACCTGCAAGGGATAGAGGGAGAGCCATGATCGCCTACGTCCTGAAAGGACATGGCGCATAAAAAGAAAGATAAGAAAAATGTCATTCCGTCTGGAGAAGTCTTTGAATGATAATAACCCTTCTTAAAACTATAGAAAATACCAAAATATTCCTTGTTTGCACGGAATGTGATTTTTTATTCCCAGTTAGTCTCCTGTTTTGTTTTATTTTTTAATCTAGGTTCCTTGAATATCTCCTCTGCATATTTTTCGGTTAGCATATATTGAAATACCTTTTTAATACTCAAAATTCTATATTGCCCACCAAAATTTCCAAACCATTTTCTATTCAGTTACGCATCACACACCTAACAATTGAAATCGCCCACCGGTGGACGATATCACCAGGGAAACCGTACCTTAGACTAACTGAAATTTCAGCGATTTAAAAACTGTAGCCAACAGAATCTTGTCTACAACATTAGTAATACCGTGTTATTGCTAATGATTGAGATCGTCGAAAGTACTTGAAGAAAACATTCGGAGAGTTTATGTACATATTTGATTCTGATTTACACTAATGTTCATCCCAATTTTGATATCATGGACAGAAAATGAGAGCAAGGAGGAAGTCTTAGAGAAAACAGGAACAAAAAAGGACACTTATATTTAGCATCAAAAAGACAGGATTTGAAACTTCTAATAATGAGGAAAGACGGCTTGGAGAATTAGAAACTCATAGTATATATTGAAAGCAAGAGAAAAAGAGGAACGTAGGACATGACCGACCTAATGAACTTGTGCAAATGGTTGACACAACAGGGATTGGGAGGGATAGCATAAACATTACTTACTACTAAGTTGTGGAGCGCCATTACTACCCACACCGCATTTTGTCATAGTAAGTGTATTGATTTGAGTGTTCTGCTTGATCACTATATACGATGGCTCATCTCTATACACGAGGGCTGATCACTATATCCGAAGGTTGATCACTATCTATGTGGATTGATCACTATATATGTGGGTTGATCACTATATACGAGGGTTGATCACTATATATGTGGGTTGATCACTATATCCGAAGGTTGGTCACTATCTATGTGGATTGATCACTATATACGAGGGCTGATCACTATATACGAGGGTTGATCACTATATATGTGGGTTGATCACTATATACGAGGGCTGATCACTATATACGAGGGTTGATCACTATATATATGGGTTGATCACTATATACGAGGGCTGATCACTATATACGTGGGTTGATCACTATATACGAAGGCAGATCAATATATACGTGGGTTGATCACTATACACGAGTGCCAATCCCTATATACAAGGGTTGATAACTATACACGAGGGCTGATCACTATATACGTGGGTTGGTCACTATATACGAGGGCTGATCTGTATATAGGAGGTTTGATTACTATATACGTGGGTTGTATATACGAATGATCACTATATACGTGGGTTGATCACTATATACGAGGGCTGATCACTATCTGATCACTATATGGGAAGGCTGATCACTATATACGTGGGTTGATCACTATGTGGGTTGATCACTATATGGGAAGGCTGATCACTATATACGAGGGATGATCACTATATGGGTTGATCACTATATGGGAAGGCTGATCACTATATACGTGGGTTGATCATTATATACGAGGGTTGATCACTATGCCAGTAGCCGTTCAGTTATTAGATAAATATTTATCTGAAAATGTTGCCGACAAAAAAGGGCGTCATCTCGTAAAATAAATGTTAAGAAGAACTTTTTTTTAATCTTTAGGCTACGAAATTACTGATGAACCTATACACACACAGACACACACGAACGCACGTACACAATCTCACACACACGCACAGTCATACACTCCCGCACACACTCCTGCGCACACACATACACACGTGCGCGCACACACACATATATAGAAGTGATAGATTTTTACATATTATTCCGAGAGATTTTGTTAATTAAACATTAATTTTAGTGGATACACACGTTTCAGTAGACGCTCTGTTTAATTATTAAACAGCATATATGACTGAACATTTGAGAATAATAATTATACTGTTTGATAATTAAACAGAGCGTCTACTGAAATACGTGTATCCACTAAAATATAAGTTATAAATAATAACAATATGTCGGATTAACAAATAAAATATCCATCCCTTTCTTTAGAAATTGCTTTGTTTACATTAGAATGTGAAACTGAAGAGATGTGTCTTATTTCGAGAATCAGAGAAAGATTTGTGTTTAAAGGCATTATTCAAGTTTATTTGTCCATCGAAGTATTCCGTAACCGAGAGTCCCAAAGCCCATCAAATCGAATGACAGTTACCTCTAGAGGAATGCAGGTTCGGATCCTATTTCTCTCTAATAAGAATTCTTGTATATTCAGGTCGACAAGCAAAAATAAATAAATTTACAGTCTAATTGATAAACAGAGCGTCTACTCAAATACGGGTATCGACAAAAAATAACGGTTAAGCGCTAAAGACCTGAAGGAAGACTAAATAAAAAAAATCTATTCCTTTTCTTTAGAAATTGCTTTGTTTCGGTTAGGATACAAAACGGAGCAGATAAGAATGTTTCGAGAGTCTGAAAAGTATTTCCGTTTATAAGGCACTATTCAGCATCGCTTGACAATCGACGCACTTCGTGGCCGAAACGATCGAGAGCAAGTCGGATCTAACGACGGTTTCTCCTGCCAAGGGGGACGCAAGATCGAATACTGCCGGTGACCACGTATTTTTAATAGGTGTTGTGGTGTCTTCCCAATAATGAGGCTATTGTGGACTCTCCCACTTACTATAAAATTAGTAGGAATGTAAGCCTCGGGGGAACAGTGCTCTAGCCTGTTCAACTGTCAAACTCTCTGCCTTCAGCAGCGAGGAACCCGGACAAGGCTTTGCCAAAGGGCAAAGTTTCGTCCGGGAAGGTAGACAGGCCCGGACCCGTTTATGCGGGTTCTTCGGGAATATTTTTGGCCGAGCCTACTGGCTCGGAGAACGCACGGTGAACTTGACCTTGTGCTGCAGACATCTCTCGTGCAGGGGGGGGGCTGTTAAATATTAACAGTGATATAGCCTGTTCGTTACTGTCGAAATCTCTGTCTTGAGCAGAGAGGAACCCGGATGAGGCTTTGCCGAAAGGCAAAGTTTCGTCCGGGGAGGTAGACAGGTCCGGACCCATTTATGCGGGTTCTACGGGAATATCTTTGGCCGAGCCTACGGGCTCGGAGAACCGACGGTAAACTCGGCTTTGTGCCACATAGATCCCTCGTGGGGTGGTGTTAAGTATTAACACTGATATAGACTGAACTCTGGTCGACCGACACACACTCCCAAGTCGTGTAACACTCTTCTCTTGTATTTAGTGTTCAATACACTATTTATCTGCAACCTCTTGT